CGGCTCCGTGGGCGAGCCGGGCTCCGTGCCGGCGGCGGGGCGGGGGCCAGGACCCCCCGCCCGGGGGGCAGGGGACTGTGCGCGGCTGTGCCCGCGCTGCGTGCGAAGCACAACAGCCCCGAGCCAGATCTCCCCTCCGCAAAGGCACTTTCCCCGCCGCCCCGCAGGCAAGACGAGTTTATTCCGACTCGCGTCAGCCCCCGGGCCGGACCCTCTCCCTCTCCCCGTCCCCGTCCCTGTCCCTGCCCCGCCGGGCCAGGGCTCCCCGCAGCCCTGCCAGGCTCCAGACCCACCGTCTCCCCCGCGATCTGTCGCTGTTCGCTTTGATTTCGGATTTCAGTGGCAGAGAGGGGAGACGCCAGTTTCAAATTAATGGCGGGTTGGTCGGCGGCTGTTCCGTGCTTCGGTTTGGTTCGGTTTGGTGAAAGGCTGGACTGCGGGAAAAATACGACAATTGCACGGCTGGGAGATCTGGCGGCTCCGGAGGCTCCCGAGAAGTCACGATCCCTCCTGGGTTATTTACCAGATCGCCGGTGTGCATTTTAAATGCATTCCTGGCACTGAGGAAAGTGCATTCGTGATACATTTTCACTTTAAAGAACCTTTCTATAAGCGGGGGACGAAGGAAAGCGAAAGGACCCCTTTGCCAGGGACTGTAACAAGGAATTTTCAGGGATTTTAATTTCACCGCACCGAGGGAAAATATTTCCGAGATTTAAATTAAAGAAAGAAATACAAATAGAAAGCCGAGATTGAGAGCGTCTTGAGTCAGGAAATGAATAATTAAGAGCAATTTGTAACTTTTGACACCGAAACTTTCGAGGACACGCCCTGCCCGCTGCATAAAAACAAACCGAAAACATATAAAATGGAAATGCTTGAAGTTTAAAAAATACCGATTTTGCCGTGAGAAGGAAGGCGCAGAATTACAAACCCATGATCAGATCCCCAAACGTGGATGTAGGTAACTGTCCTCCTGTTTCCGAACCAATGATTTCCAGGATACATTGCTTAAAATGTAGGGTTTAATTTTCGAAGACCTTTAACAGCAAATAGTCGGTGCATTAGACGTTATTTTTAGTTTTCAGCGCTGCGACCTGCTTTCGGCCGCGATTGCAGTAATTCTGCCTCCGGTACGATCGGGAACACGCAGGCAGCCGAAAGAGGCATTTCACTCTCTCTGATTTTTAAAACACTCCAATGAGATCGTAAACAATTTTGGCTTCCGATTAAAAAAATAAATAAATAAAATCAACGTTGGATTTGTTCCCTAAAATGTATTTCTAGATCTGCAGACCTAGCTGTTGGTAAGCAATTAAAATACATACGGGCGCGGGCTCCTGCCACACAGAGAGAGCGAAGCACGATCGGTAGGAAAGCGGCACGACTGGCTGGGGGGTGCCTACAGACGCCGGCCCTCACCCGCAGAGAAATACATGTAAATATCGTCCTGCTCGGACAGAAATAACCCTAGAAAAGCACGGGGCAGAGCAGAACAAGCTCGTGTGAAAAACATCCGGGCTGCAATAATTTGAATTATTAATTTTTAATCTTTTTTGCATCTGTTGCCTTTTAATACTTTGTAATGCGAGTTATAAAAGGTGCTTTGAATTATTTATCGTGGAGTTGCCGAGGAAATTGCTGTCTTGTAACTTTAGAGGCAACATGTGCAGAAGGGCTTCTGAACAAATGAAGAAAACACACGGCAACACATACCCGCGGGTTTTAGCGGGGAAGGAGAAATATCCCCCCTCCCCTCTGAACCCCTAAATATGTTTTAAGAAAGACTAACAAAAGAATGCAGCAAATAACCCCGGCTCATCGGGGAAGGGACGGGGACGCCGGCCGGCGCCCTGGCCGAGGCGGCTGGGAGGGGATATGTGGGGGTGTTACTGAAGGGGTGGGGGAGATGGAAAAAACTCTATTTGTGCGAAAGGACTTGGATCGATCGCAGGGCAATGAGAGTTTCCACTAAGTTCAGAGCCAATAAGTCAGTGTCAGAAGCAGGGGAGAAAAAAACCTCAGCGAAAATACAAACAGATCATTTTTCAGCAAACTGCAAAACGAACTAAGATCTCTTGGCGAGGAAGATACAGAAGGTTAGGGTGGTGTGAAAGGAAAGCTTTAATACAGTGTGCACTCCACAGCTCTATCAGCTGGATATTGCGGAGACAGAGACCCCGGGCAGCCGCGCCCGGAGCTGCGCCGCCCGCCCGCCCGCATCTCCCCGCCCGCCCGGGCGAAGCGAGCTGCTCCCGCCTCCCATGCAGACCGGCCCAGGTGCAAGCGGTTCACTGCCGCCCGTCTTGCCGAGTCCCAAAAGGAGATATCTCCCTTTATCCCCGTCACTCCCGTCCTCCTGCCCATGCTTAGCAGGTGCATACTTATTTTTTTCCCCAAGTTATTTTTCGAAATGGAGAGAGATCGGGGAAAAAAGCGATCCTAGGAGTCCTATCTGAGAGCGAGCGGGTTTTTGCCTGGAACGGGGGGAACAGAGGAAAACGGAGCATTTTAAATTTTCCCTGAATTAGATTTGTGAGCGGGGGGGAAAGACGGCACGGTGCGAGTCTGTTAGTTTGTTTTTTTTTTTTTAACTGGAGGATTTTTCCTTTAAAGATCGAAAGCCGAGGAGAGAGAGGGTCTGTCTGTAAACGAACATCGGCCGCGGGGCACAGAATATTTTCTTTCTCTCTCCCTCCCTCTCCCTCCATTTCTTTCCCTTTCTCTTTTCCTCGCTGAATCCCTCAACTCGCATCCGAAAATAACGGGCGCGTTGCACGGGGGCCACGCCGCGGGCGAGGGAGGGCGGGGTTCGCCAGCAGCTGTAATTGACAATGTGATAGAAAATCGTGGAGAGAAAATGAAAGGGGAGAGGAAAAGCCCAGGAGTAGAGGGAAGGGGGACTGCGGCAGGGTCCGCCCGGAGCCGCTCAGCAGCTGAGCTCCGGAGTTTGGGAGCGCATCTCTCCCCAACTCTGGGGAGAGGGGCCGGGGCGGGCACTGCCTCCGTCCTCGCCCCGCCACCGTGGCCCGGGAAGCCGCCGCTCCGGCGCCCCAGGGGGGCCGCGGGAGGGAGAGGGGCTCTCCGGCCCTGGAGGGGAGGCGGCGTGCGGGGGGACGGTTCCCGGGTAGCCCCCGGCTCGGGAAAATTCACTCTGCCTTCTCTGTCCTTCCCATCCTTCCTCCTCTCTCTTCTTTATTCCTTTCTCCTTTATTTCTTTCTCTTTCTTTCTCTCTCGCTCTTTTTCCTTTCTTCCCTTTTCTTGTTTTTCTCTCTTTATCTTTCCTTCTCCCTTTACCTTTCTTTCCTCGTTAGCCTTCTTTCTTTCTTTCGTTCTCTTTCTCCCTGTTTCCCCCTCTTTCTTTCTCCCTTTTTCTCCTCTTCTCTCTCTCCCCCACGCCTTGTTCCCCCCTCTTGACCCCCTGCCATCACCTCCATCCATCCGTAGTGACTGGAGATTTTGCGCTACGAGTGGCGAAGAATCCACGACTAACGGTGTGTTTCTGGTGTGCGTGGGTTGTTGTGTTTTTTTTATTTCTCTTTCCCCAGCAGGGCACGGGGGTGTGAACCAGCTCGGGGGGGTGTTTGTGAACGGCAGGCCCCTACCTGACGTGGTGAGACAAAGGATAGTGGAGCTGGCTCACCAGGGGGTCCGACCCTGTGACATTTCCAGGCAGCTGCGGGTCAGCCACGGTTGTGTCAGCAAGATCCTGGGCAGGTAAGGAAAGAGGCAGCTCCTTCCCCTCCCCTGGGCCCGGCACCGGTGCATCCCTTCCCCGCTCCGCTGTCACCTCTCGCCCTTCCCGCGGCGCCGGGCTCTCCCCGAGCGCCCCCGGCACCTCCGCGCCGGGGAAGCCCGCGGCCGAGCAGGGGCCCCAT